CCCCCCCCCCCGATGTTAACTAGTCACTAACTTTAGTTGCTCATCTCGTAACTAGCTTCATTGATTCTTCAGCCACCTTTAGTCTTCCAATGTGCTTCTAATCACTTATCTTCAAGCTGTTTTGCATCAGAAGCAAAAATGCAACTGTTGAGGTTAAACTTTTTTTTAGATGCGTATCGGGGACAAAAATAATTTTGGGAAATGACTGTCTATGAAACAGGTGGCATTCTTGTTTCCCTGGGTCTCTGAATTTCTTTCTACCAGCTTCTTTCAATTTCTGTCTTGTCTAACTGTCCAGGTATGCTTTCCTTCCTGGGATTCGGCAAACTTTAGTTATGTACAAGTACAGCTGCTTGCACAGAAATGGGTACCCTGAACAAGTCGATAGGTGGATTTCTGGCTCTAGTTGGTTTAAGACTACCTGTACAGATGCTATATTTTTCTTTCTTTTAACACACTCCCTGGTGTAATGACTAAAGTCAAACTCCACTTCTGTTTCTTTCCTTCACTACAGGTGGTCTTAATTTAATATGACCTTGACAGCTGGGGTAGCAATCACTTTGATCTTTGAATGCCCATATCTTTCTTAATCCATGTTATGTTGAAAGGTTGATTTTTTTAGTATTTCCAAGTGGAAATGGAAATTAAGAGATCTGTACTTTTTTTGTTGCTGTTTTGTTTTTTGTTAGCATAAATGCTACTTTAATGATGGTAAATACTAGCTCATGCATCAAGAAATAAATGGATGCAAAAGACTTGTTTCTGTATATTCACTTTGGGGAGTTTACATTTGTAATGGTAGACTTTTGGGAAAAGTAAAGGAAGGTTCCTCTGATCTCCTGAAAATCCAGCTAACCTCCAGAAACGAGCATGAAGAAATTGGCAAAGCGCTGTGAAATTTCTTTTCTTGTTACCCGGTGCTCTTCTGCAAAACCATATATTTTAAACAAGCACTCTATTAATAATTCTTATACCATCTCCCCCTTCTCTGTAGCCTTGAAATTTACTCCACATACTTCACCCCCCTTTTTTTAGGTGAATCTGGGATGGCCATGAGTATCTGTGCTATTTAAGGGCCACTGCTAGATAGGCTCAGTGTATTCCTTAATCAGGTTGGGTCAGGAGATGACACCTTGGGAATGAGGAGGAAAAAGGGAGGGGTGGAGGAACACTTCAAGTAATTCCATGAAAACATAGCTACAGTTTAATTGGTCCTCTTTTAAATTCAAGAATTTAACCTGAATTTTAAATCCTTACTCTATTTTCAACTTGTTTTAGTTGAAAATCATCCAGCAGTTAAAAGCCGTAGTGAAGCTCTTCAACTGCATGTCAGATTCTGCATACATCTTAATTAGGGTTCTCACATGTTGTACTTTGAAGTTCTAATCAGGTCTTGTGTCCCTGCTCTGGGTATCAAAGTGTCTCAAGTCTGAGGTTCAAGCAGGATTGCAGGAGTAAGAATGAGTCTGTTCCAGACCAGAACAAGAAACAGCAATGTAAGCGAAAGACTCTGTGCACTTAAGCCAGTTGGAGAAACCAGTCTTTGTTTGTTCCCTGTTAACCAGTATCAACATAGTTACCATGATAAACAAGTATAAACAGCAGTGTATTCAGTCAAGTATCTGCCTTGTCACCTGAAATAGGAGCCCTAAATATTAAACTGATTAATTTATTTTAGTTGCAAGTGAAATGTTGTGGAATTTATGCATCTTAAATGAGTTTGCTGACCACTTTATCAGCTATCAACAATCATACTTTTAAGAGCTTCTAAAGCCAATAGTTTTAAAATTTTGCTAACATAATTAAAGGGAAAAATGAGAAATTGAAGGGAAGACTACAGAACCTCTCAAAAGCAGTTTGCCAACTCCCATGGGTGGATTGTTTGAAGGAAGGAATGGCAAAATACAGAGCTTCTGTGTGTAACTTTTTTACCATGGCAAACATGAGGAGTTGACTTAAGTCACTCAAGTAAATGGTTCCTGGAATAAATAGGTTTAAGAACTCCTGAGAAACAATGTGAAAACAAGAGGGACACTCTGCCAAGGAGGCTGGAAGGAAGGGCACAAAAAATGTATGTAGGGAGAAAAGCTGTTGGATAGGTGGGGCTGTGGTGAATAGTGGCCTGAATACAGAAGTGTTAACAGGAATGAAGCATTTAAAGCAGTGATGTCAGGGGTGTGGTCAGTGGGCCAGTTTTGGCCTGTAGAACCACTCCGTCTGGGAGGCTACCAGAAGTTGGGGAAGGGGGGCCTGCAGCATTAGGAATCCCTAGATTCCAGTTGGCCATTGGTGGCAACCCCCCAAACCCATGCACTACTGAGTTCAAGCAGTAGCTGCTGAGACTAGCCCTGCATTGCTGCTTGCCCCCAGGTGCATGCTGCCTTCCAAATGTTGCTGCTAGCTCTTCAGGTCCTGCCCAATGGAGCCCCCGTGGCCTGGATTTGATCCGGGGGCTGAGGTATTTTGACACTTCTCCTCTCAAGCCTTAGCTGTACTGGCAGGAGCAAGCCAGTTGCTGACAACTACAGTAGTTAGCAAGAACATATTGATATAAATAAGCAGGCTTAAAACAACTGTCAAGTAATACAAAAGCTGGGACTGTTGGGTTATGTTAGATTTCATGGAAAGATTTATTTTGGTATGTCACAAAGTTTGCAACATGTTAGGCAAAACTTCGTATAATGAATGAGTTGGATTTGGATCCATTTGGATGATTTTAACATTAAAGCATTGAAAGCTACAGTGGAAGTAGAAAAGAAAGTGTATGAATGTTTTAGTTTGGGGTTTTTTAATACCTTTTCTAAAGCGTATGAACATCTCCAAGGAATCCTACATCTTGGTGGGAAAAGTAGGAGTATATATGCAGAAGGTTATGCTAGCCACTTTGAGTAGGAAGATTCTGTAGCTTTAGTAGGAGTATGGTTGGTAGCCTGAGTTAAATTGTTCTTGGTAAGTGTATTGCCTAAGTGTTTAGGTGAAATAGTACCTAATGTGGGGTGACAGAACAAACTCCTCAGAGTTCAGTCTTGACACTGCAGAGGTGTGTGATGTAAGGGACCCCAGAAGTGAAAATAGCTTATTTTCATAGCCATACGGTGAGCAATGTTAATCCAGGCAAAAACTTAAGATTCCTGAGGAAATGCAATTGTATGTTTAAACAGTACAGTTTTGCTTTTCTGAATCTTTCTTTTAAGCACTAGTTTCATTGTGAGCTTACTAAATTGCAAAAAAAGCAGGGTTCCCTTTGCATGTCCAACACTTGTATTTTATGGTCCATCATAAATAAGAACAAGTCAAACATATCCCTGTAAATAGCTTCATAGCCAAATGAATAAAAATGCAGCAGAATCTTAATCTGAGGGACTAAATACTGTGAGGTATCTTTCACCTGTTATGTTTGACTTATGGTTGAAAATGCAGCAAGTTTGAGAGACTAAATTTAAAATACGGCCTTTGGAAGAACTAGCGTTAGTTTACTTAAACTTTATCCTCCACTTATGCCTAGAGAACTGAACCACAACGATGAGCAGCAACGAGTGTTTCAAATGTGGACGTACTGGCCACTGGGCTCGGGAATGCCCTACTGGTATTGGACGTGGTCGTGGGATGCGAAGCCGTGGCAGAGGTAATCTGCCTTCATAAAAGTTTCTAACTTATGCTCATTGAAGCACAGTTTGCATCTTTTAAGACTTGTGCACTGTATTTTTATAGCCTTTGTAGAAATGACACAACATTCTTCATAAGTACAGGTAATCAAATTGTGTACTTAATTGGTTTGTGTTGCTTGTTTTCATTTTTTTAATGATGCCTACTGCCACTTACATTCTCCAATATTTTATAGTACAGTACAAGTGCTCTTATCTGGCATCCATGGGGGATAGGGGGTGCTGGTTAATCAAATATGCTGGCTGGCTGAGAGTCACAATCCAGCACAAGCACAACACAATTGCAATGGCGGATGTTTACAATTGAGACTGCTGCTAGTGACGCTGCTCAACAGCACCCTGAAGCTTCTGTAAACAACAGATCTATGAGAAGCGCATGGCAAGATGCCTGATGGCTGTTGGAATTTTTCTGGGTACGTGAAGGAAGATTTGTATTGCTATCTATGACCAATGCTGGTTAATAGAGCGTTCCAGATGGTAAAGTGCCAGATAATGCAGCTTTTACTGTATTATGATACCTGTGAAAAGGATTTCCTTGGTGTATTGCAAAAAGGACAATTGCAGTGGCATAATAAGTATTTACCTTTGTTTATGATGTATAGCTAGATCACTAAAACTTACTCGTTCTTAAACAGGCTTCCAGTTCATGTCTTCATCTCTCCCAGACATCTGCTATCGCTGTGGTGAGTCTGGCCATCTTGCCAAGGACTGTGATCTTCAGGAGGATGGTAAGTATTAAGAGGGGATGGTGGGGCAGGGGAGGAACCAAACATCACAAGCTACACATGACACTTGTGTATTTGAACATGGAACCAATTGGTTCCCAGTAAATGCATGTTAGAATTAACTTAATAAAGGTTTTATAGTCTTGTTCTGTCTATTTTCTTATTGTGGAAGCCTGCTATAACTGCGGCAGAGGTGGCCATATTGCTAAGGACTGCAAGGAGCCGAAGAGAGAGAGAGAGCAATGCTGCTATAACTGTGGCAAGCCTGGTCATCTGGCTCGTGACTGTGACCATGCAGATGAGCAGAAGTGCTATTCTTGTGGGGAATTTGGACACATTCAAAAAGACTGCACCAAAGTGAAATGCTATAGGTAAGTGTCACTAAAATCACTGCCTTCAGTGATGCAAGGATCACTATATTCCAATCCTAAAAGGGAATACAATGATCCAAGCTTATGCCTATACAATTAAAAATATGCCATAATTACTGTTTTGGGGCGGGGAGGGAAAAAGCTCAACCATCTTTAGATAGTGGAGTAACACACACAACACTGGTGCTTTACTGGATGCTCCAAATGGCAACTAGAGTACTACCAGACTTTAATTAAAGAAGCATATTTGTCATGGGGAAGTATTGCCTTCTGGGGACCCACCTCTTGTTCAAATCTTATTTAGTGGGGTGCTTGGGTGTAAGTGCAGCAAGATTTAGAATGGAATGCAGTTCAGCTTTACTGCTTCTGGCTGCATTTGACTTAAGCTTGTAGTCGGGCTGCCTAACTTGATTTAATTCTACACCAGAGACGTGTGCCTAACTTTTAGTACGGATGATGTCAGTAAGCAATATTTACAGCTTGAACAGCTGCACAACACAAACATCACCTTCAGAATTGGAGGACGACCCAGTGGATCATTTAGTGAACTTTATAACAGTGTGGGATTAGTCTTTCCTGACTTGCCTAAAAATCTAACAAGTCTAAAGCTTCCACATAACTTTTTTTTTTTTCTTTCTCCGTCTCCCAGGTGTGGTGAAACTGGCCATGTGGCCATCAACTGCAGCAAGACGAGCGAAGTCAACTGCTATCGCTGCGGAGAGTCAGGGCACCTTGCACGGGAATGCACAATTGAAGCTACAGCCTAATAATTTTTCCTTTGTCGCCCCTCCTTTTTCTGATTGATGGTTGTATTATTTTTCTCTGAATCCTCTTCACTGGCCAAAGGTTGGCAGATAGAGGCTACTCCCAGGCCAGTGAGCTTTACTTGCCATGTAAAAGGAGGAAAGGGGTGGAAAAATCAACTTTCTGCATTTAACTACAAAAAAATGTTTATGTTTAGTTTGGTAGAGGTGTTATGTATAATGCTTTGTTAAAGAACCCCCTTTCCGTGCCACTGGTGAATAGGGATTGATGAGTGGGAAGAGTTTAGTCAGACCAGCAAACCCTCTCTGGGTTACATGGAAGTGATCCTGTGCAGGACGAAAGAAATCCTGGAAGTGTCAAAACTTCCACAAGTAACTCTTAATTTTATTATAATGGCCTTGAATTGTCTGACCTCAGTAGCTGTTAACGACACCAAGTAATATCTGTATCAGGCCTTACCTAGAGCATATAGCTGTGTGGGAGTAAACAAACAAGATGCACATGCCTGTTACTGGCCATGAGAGAGAGAGAAATCAGGAATAAAACTTTAAAAGTAACAGTAATTCAGTCAAAGAATGTTAATGTTGGAGATACAGAAAGTAATGGGAAGCTTTTTGAACGAATATTGCAAATTTAAATCTAAAACCCAGAACATCAGTTCTCATAGCATACACAATTTGGAGCTATTCAGGAGTTGCAAAGATGCATTTTCACAGAAATCAAGATGTTATTTTTGTATACTATATCACTTAGACAACTGAGTTTTCATTTGCTTGTAATCAGTTTTTAAAGTAAGATGGTAAAAGCAATTGAAGTCCTAGAACATAGAAATGTAATTTTAAACTATCAATAAAGCTGGAGGAGGAAGGGGAGTTTGGCTAAAGTTCCTTTTTGCTTAGTTTTTGTTCATGTACACAGTGCAAAACACCATATTAAAGAGGGGAATGTGGAGGTGTTTAAAAGCTTACAGTTTGGACTTTTTCTTTTTGTTCTAAGTCTTGTGGTGTTGATCTCAATTCTGTAACATCAGTAACTTCAGAAAACTTACATTGCGCTACTTTTGCAGCACTTCTTACAGGTCTTTGCTTCTCTGCATACCTTGACATCGTAAAAATGTTTGTTCCTTTATACAGTAGGCTGTTGCTTTAACCTTTATACGAGCTTCCAATTAAAACATTGCTTCATGTATGAGCTTGTTGCTGATTTGTGCAGAGTAAAGCTAGTCTCTTACTCGTACTTGAATGTGCTGGATATATGAATACTACTGCAATGCCACTTCCAGTGAAGTAGGTTAATGCATTGGTACCCAACTTCTTAGCTTTGAAAAATGAAGTGCTCATTAGTGGAGTGCAGGAAAAAATCCTAACAGCCCTGCAGTTAGGGTGCCTCAATACATGGTGTACTGGAACATAATTTTCAAATGAGAGTTGAGATCTACTAATAAAAACCTGTTTTAACCAAAGCAGGAAGTGCTAGCTGTCACTTTACAACCAGAGTAACTTCAGTCCATGAGATTCTTATGTTTTTGTGGTGCCTCTTTTTCCCCTCCCTTGTATTTTAGATCTGGAAATACTGAGGGCAGATTAGAGTAGCTTCCATCAAATAGAAAGTGATGACTTACTTCATACTGGTTAAGTAAACGTTATGACAGGTCATTTCTTAATGCTAGCCTTGCTAAATCTACTTAGTTGCCTGATTCTGCAATGGATTATATTGAATGTGGCACTCTGCCATTCCCTTTACTTTATTCATTAATGGAATTAGAATGGAAAATGTGCTGTCTTGGAAGGACCAAACTAAAAGATGGAAGTTAGTGTAATGAATTCCTTCTGGCACTTATTTGTAGGCAGGGGAACCTTGAGCACTTAAGCATGTTTTAAAACAAATTCAGGAAGTGTTAAGAGGTCTGCCTTCTTAATACTCAGATCTACAGGATACCTTCATTTGAATACTCTGACAACACTGCATTCAAGCCTTGCACTAGTAGATCCCCTGTAGTAGAGCAGTCCAATCTTGCTGCCCCTCCCTCTCCCCCTCCCCCTCCTTCCAAATCATTCTGCTTCCTATTGAACAAGTACTTCAACATATAATATTACAAGACAAGTTCACATCTTATTTTTACACCAATTTGGACCTCTTTTTCCCCAACCAAAGCATTACCACTTGAATGCTTCCTTCCCCTGTGTCCCTTCTTCTCTCCAAGCCATGGACTGCTTGAGATTCATGGACTGCCCTGCCTGCAAAAGTA